AAGCCTGACTTCCTCTCTTTGATTTTTCTTTACATCTTAGTGGGCCCTCCAGAGTCCTGTTCTTTTTTTTTCTCTTCTAGTACTATAATTTATCAAAACTTCATACTCTTTTTAATTTGTCATAGTAAAGAATATAGATTAACATTGGGAAGCTAGGAGCAAGTTATTTCTAACATGTTGCTGTTGTACAAACAATACTTCCATGAATTTGACAATTTTTTAAATGAAAAAACATGGGTTTTTTTTTGCCCTCCCACTACCTCTCATGGAACTGAGCTCCATTATTCATCTGTGTTGTTATCTGCTCTTCTCTATTTTAAAGTTTCTGTCTGATAGCTCTAGTTATAAGAAAAAGTGTACAGTCACTCCCTAGTCATCTTCTCCAGGTCATTCATGAGGTTACAGAACTCTACTACCTTCATGAAAAGTCTCTTTCCTAAGATGAGGAGTCAAAATGTATTTAATTCTCCATCTAGAGAAATTTTTCTGAATCTTTGGCCATGGTTTTCTTCCCTTTCTGGTATACTTTTTCTATGCTACTGTATCATTTTGGAAATGGAAGATACAGACAGTCTGTAGAAGCAGCATGGATTTATAGTGAGGCATAACAATGTTGTCTCCTTTATTTTTTATTCCTTTCCTATTAACTTCTAACATAGTTTTATCTTTTGACTGTTTTGAAATCAGTGACAGCCAAGATTTCCTTCTTGATTGGTAGGAACTCCAGTATGTAAAGTTAAACTCTTTTCCCATATACTTTCCTCCTGTATAGTTTTCAATGCTGAACTCCCATCTGCTGGTATGTCACTCAGCAGTCACTCACTCTGAGATTCTTCTGCAACTCCTTGTGCTTCATTTTAGTTTTCACCTCATGATACTTGGCAATGTGAGACTATTTTGTCATTTCCCTTTAGTCTTTTCTATGTCTTTCATGGATACACTGAGCAAGATTGGTCCCAGATGGATTCCTGTGACAGTCTACTGATAACATCCTCCAGGGTAAAATGTTTTTATTTTTTCTTTCCTCTCTATCATTAGTTAGAGACCCATATGAGGACCTACCCTTTTACCCCAGGAACACTCACTCTTTAGGGTCCATTCGTGAAGAGCATTCTTAAAGCTGCTTTGCATTATATGATACAGGCAAGTGTCATACATTTAAAATGTAAGTATTCAGAATGGAGCCTTACTGACAAACTATTGAGAATTTAATTTTCAGTACACAGTCCATCAGGCTATCAATAGGGTAATTAAAAAAAAAATTAGTCTAGAAATCCAATATAGACAGTTAAGAGAAATGACACATTTTTATACAGGTTGTTAAAACAGTTTACTAAGAAATCAGTCAAGAAGGTGTAGAAAAAGGAAAGAGGAAAGAAAAAAGATAGTGGTGTATAAAGATGCTAAGGAAGTGAGAAAAAAATCCAGTAACAAGCTGAGCAGTGAACAGCATGATACTGTAATAATGTTAATTGTTCTACAGCCCACAGGCCAAGGATGGCAGGATACCCCTGCTGCCATACGAGATGGACAAACTCAACCCTACCTGTGTGGGAGCCTCCATAATCCCATAGCCGTACTTCACTGCAAGCAATATCGTCATGCATTCAGTCCCCCCATCCTCCTCTCTTCACCAGGTAAATTTGTGCCTGCTACTTGTTCACCATTACATTTCTCTTGCACTATACTTTGCAGACAAATGTCCCACTTACTGCAATCCACGGTGCTTTTTCTGTAGTGTATTTATGTCAGGATATGATTAATTATTTATTCGTGGTATATTATAAATTCTAAAATAGCTCAGTTTCTGGTGCATCTTTCTTCTTAGAAAACATCAATGGTCTTACGTGGGTCATTTGAAAAGTTTTGGTCTTGGTCAGTAAGGAAAATGTATTTTTCTTCACAGGCAGCTTATAAACACAAGTTCACAGTCACTGCCATCACAATAATGTAATTATATTTTTCTTCTGTAACTTTTTTCTTATATAACCAGCAAAGCAGAATATCTCTGCATATTCTAAGTACAGTTAAATTGAAAGCAAACCAGGTATTGAGAAGTCTACACATAAAATAAATTGAATCTTTCCATGCTGGAAGTATCTGGCTTCAAAAAGATAAAAGAGGGAACCATCTTAATGAAAAGCACTGTTTATTTTTTAAGTCTCTGTCATTGTACTAGGATGGCAGGCTATCATAACTTGTAATCATTCTATTTTTAATAAAGTTTTCTGCAAGAGTAGCCTTTCTTTCCAGTATAATACACAAAATCATTTTTTTTCTCAGAAAAGGAGAAGAAAATTTGCAAGGCTTCTATTATTCAGTCTGTGAGGATGAAACTGAAATTTAGACTGAAAGATTAGCATTTACAAAACTAACAGCAAACACACACATCCATTATTTTAAGATTACATTCAAAACTATTTTGGTTAAAATTTCTTCAAGTCCAGAGGAGAAACTTGAAGTGTATCAGAACATAAGGTACAGTATAAAATACACAAGCTGACAGAAATTAGACATTCTAATACATTGTTCTGACTTCATTAGAACTTAACTTAGACTGGCTTCTGGTTTATGACGGAGTTCAGGCTCGGCTCCTTTGTTTTCTTGGACTGAACAAGCAAATCTGCTCATAGAGCTTATTACAGTGGCTCGAACAATCATTTTTCAGGCAGTCTCTTGTTGAACACATAATGAAGAACTCTGAAACCCTGAGACGAAATAAATCCATGACCTTTACCCAATGGCGTCATAGAAGCAAGAGGAAGATCTCACAGTGGCCCTAGGCCGGGTGCTTACATGGGGAAAGTTACTTCAGAGCACGGAGCACATGGGAACCCTTTTGTGCTTATGCACCTTCAGCTAGAGAATCTACAAACTAAACATAGAAAGGGAATTAGCAGGATAAAACATAAACAACTCTAGCAAATCAAGTATACATTCCTATTTGAGTCCTAAAGAATATACTAAGGGACAGAAAATAATAGCTTTATACTTTTTGTGAGACAAAAGATAAAACTTTTTTTATTTTCATTCTTCACTGAATGTGCAACTGCAGAAAAAGTAAAGCAGCTGATAAAATCTGTATCATAATGTCTATGTAGAAAAGAGCAAAAATAAAGCTGCACAGGCAATGGTAAACCTGACATTTTCTCAGTGAGGATTTTTAATGTTATGTGAGGCAGCAAAAGTTCAATGGTATTCATGGGACAAAGGAAAAGGTTCACTTGTAGCCCATTACTTTCTCCCTAGCATGCTAAAAAATTTTGCTGCAAACAGTGGAGCAACCATGGAGAAACTAAAGCTCTACTTTTTTTAAAAAAAAGATTGCAAAAATGCTTTAACAAACAATCTAAATAGAAAGCTTTGGTACCGATTCTTATGCCTGTTATTTGACCTTTGAGTGAAGTAAAACTCAAATGAAAGCTTGTACGTTTCTTAGAAAACTATGTACCAGCAAACAGTAGAAACTTTTTCGTATTTTCTCAAGAACCCCGTAATTTACACTCCATTCCAGCATTAAGGAAACTAGCAACTCCCTCATGAATAACTAATAAAAGAATTGAAATAGTTCAATTTTCTACACTATTTCTATCCATCTTCCTTTCTGTGTTTCACTGTACTGAAGAGCTGGTATATTTGGTGTTATTTCTCAGGGAAACAATCCGTGTGTGTGTGTGTGTACACATACATGCCTGTATAAGGCTGCTAGCTAATTTTATTTGAATTTGACTAAGGGGCAGAAATCTTAGACATTTATGTTATGTTTCTAGAGGTTTCAGGAAAACACGGTCATGTAGCGTTAGCTCAACCCATGACAGACAACAAAGAATATCGTATCACATATCAATAAGACTTTATATTTCAGTGTTTCCTGCAGTTAAAAGACTTTTACAAACTCTCTAGTGAATTACCTACTGAAAATAAATTTATGCTGTGGTGGATGCTCACTGCTTTAATTTGGTTGAAAAGACAGTGAACCACTGCCCTGTGGATCCCAGACCCGCTGGCTGACAGTTTTCAATGATTTTCATATTCATGAAACTACCTAGCATTTTTTTTGGGGGGGGGGGGGGGGGGGGGAAGGAGAGAATCTTGGGGCATTCCATGGGAAACGGGTGTGATGGAGCTCTTGAATCTCAGCTTACATAGGCCAAATATGGGGAATATAACATTGTCAGGTTGTTAAGGGCTTTGCATGAGTCTAGAGTTTCTCTTGTGTGGGGGAGACCCGACTGCTGATCCACTCTTCTTCCATTTAGGAAGTATTGTAAAAAACACGACTGTCATTTTGGTTTACTGCTTTTGCAACTTCTGACAGGAAGTCAAGTGCTTCCTGAAACCATATACCTCGCCAGAGCGATAGCGTTACTGTGACCTTTCTGAAAGCGTCCCAGTGAAGGGGAGGCAGGAAAAGGACATGCCAGAAAATGTCTAGGGTTTCTGCCATCCTCATCTATCGCCTCACCCCACTTTCCCTGTTTTAAGAGAGCAGCCTCGGAGCCCGGTGCTCACTTCGCTTTCACCTGTCCCGCCTCACCGGCAGCCGGGAAGCCGCCCTTCGCTCAGGCCGGGGGAGAGGAGCAGGAGGAGGAGGAGGAGGAGAAGCGAGCCTTTAGCCGTGGGCTGCCGCCACCCCGAAGGAAGGACGAAACCCAACAGAACCCCCCAGGCCGCGGCCCCGGTACGGGCCCGACCGCCTTCCCGGCCCCGAGGACGATGCAAGCCCGGCGCTCGGCAGCCGCCGGTGCTCAGGGGACTCAAGCCCGGGCCGCCGGTGCTCCGTACCCCGCGGTACGTATGGCCGGCCGGCGCCCCTCGCCCCCCTCAGCTGATGGCGGCGGCGGGCAATGGGGGGGGGGGGGGAGCAGAAGGGAGGGGGGGGAAAATGGGGCGGGGCAGCGCGTGCAGGTAGCCGGGTATGAGGGGCGGGGCGGGCGGGTGCGCGCGCTGCCGCCGTTGGCGTTGCCGCCGCCCGCTCCTCCCCCCCCCCCCCCCCCGTTCAGGTTTGTCATCGTGTCGCCGGCGGCGGGGCCCCGCGCGACCGCGCCAGCAACGGCTGCTCTGCGCGCGCGGCCGAGGGAGGAAGAGGAGGAGGAAGAGGAGGAGGAGAAAGAAGGAGAAGGAGGAGGGATGATGAGGAGGCCGCCGTTGCATCCGTGACGGGGGCCTGAGAAGCCCGAGCTTGGGACGGCCCCTTTCCCACCGCCGGCTCACGGGCGCTGCTTGCTCGGGAGGAGGGCGAGAAGGAGGGCGACGGCTGTCTTGTGTGTGAGAGAGAAAGTGTGGGTGGAGATGAGCTAAGCCCTGTCCCCCGGAGCCGCCTGAGGAGACCCGGCTCCCTCCCCGCCGCCGCCATGGCTCACTCCCCCGTGCAGACCGGCCTGCCGGGTATGCAGGTGAGGACCGGCCGGGTGGCCCCGGGCGGCGGGAGGGACGAGCTGCAAGGGCAGGCACGGACACGCACCCCCCCGGCGGCTGTGTGGAGCCGGGGGTGGGCCCGTGCCGCCTCTCCCCACGAGTGGGGAGCGGTGTGAAGGGGCGCGGTGGGGGTACCGTGGGGCGAGGGGGGGAAGGCGCCTCTTCGCTCTGACTCGGCCTCGGGGGCTGGGCTGGGAGGGGGTGGGGGGGACACGGGACACGGAGCGGGATCTCGTAACCCGTGGAAACGAAACGTGCAGTCAGCACTTCGCGTAATACCTAACGAGGTCCCTTCGCCTGGTGAATCCTTCCCCCCCCCCCCCCCCCCCCCTTCCCTCTCCCGTAGCCTCTGTTTTGCTGCAAGTGTGCGGAGCGGAGGGGTGCGTGGTTTGTCTCCCCCTCCTCCCCCCGGCCAGTGGTTCGCCTCGGTGTTTTAATTCACGGAGCGAAGCGTTTCTTGTTGGGCGGTTTTCGGTCCCGTTATTCTGACGGGATTAGGGGAAGCATACGTAAAAACAGGGCCTGAAAATGTTGACCTTCAGCGTGTGCTGCAGTGCCCATCTCTGTGGTGCTGGCTAGTGGGAATGCTGTCGGAGGTGGGGGTTTTGGGGGTTGTGTATAGCTCTCACAGTTGGTTAACTGCTGTTGTTATACGATGGACTTTGCTGGTTCTGTACTGTAACTATATTTTTGAAATAACTGGTATGGTTTTCTGGTGACTGAGCTGGCTTTTCCCCCCTGTTTTTCTTAGTCCAAATGCAACCTACTGCCAGAAAAACATTAAGGTCATTGGTATCTGTGTGTTATTATCCTAATGTTTGCCACATCTTCTTAGAAACTTCCCTGCCCCAACCTCCAGAAGAAAAACTTATGAATGGCATGTAGAGTTTTTCTCAATTTATCTCCTGGATTGAAAGTTTTTGTGCTTCATCTGGTTTAAGTATTGGTTTACTCTGTTGTTCCATGACTCAAGATTATAAGTAATTAATTTTTTTTCTTTGCATAACCCAAGGATTTGAATTTAAAATGTAACATGTTTAGGCATAGCATGGATTATATGTTTAGGCATAGTACTGGATGCCAAATAGAGTACGTAGGCCCTCACTCTGAACTGATTAATTTATTGCTCTGTAGGTACTTTTGTTGAGTGTTCAAGTTCACCTTCCAAATAGGAGCAGTTTGCTGTTTGCCAGACAGAAAAGTACCCGTTTCTTGCTTTGGCTATGGCTAGATTAATATTGCATTTTTTTTTAATCTGAAACACGTTAGAACCAAGAGGACTATCTGCTTACTTTGAAACAGAATGTAGTATTTTAGAATTAGAAAGCCAGATTTGTAGCTTCTCAGAAGTGAGAGAATGAAGATTATTCGGCAATATGGTCATTCCAGCAACATGCATGTACTGTTTATGTGTGCCACTGCATGGTCTCCTTAATGACCTGCATTTTTTGTTGGCTTGCTTTGTTATTTAGTTTGTAATGCTGTTACTAAATAGGTAGATATTCAGGGAGTCACATAATTTGGGAGTTTACTTCAAATTTCCTTTTATTCAGGGCGGTGTTGTTTTTTCTCATGAATTTTTATTGTATTATGAGAGTTTCTCAAGTGTGAACTTTAACAGTGTAAAAAAAACCCAAAGACCAAAGTAAAGACTTGCTGAGAGATAGAGGCATAAAGTCTGTCAGCAATGTGAATGCTACTTGCTGATTTTCTGCACCCAGTTCAAGATGTTTATATCCATTTCCATTCTGTCAGAGTACACAGCAGTTTTATAGTGGTCTGTTTTCAGTACATGATTCTCTTTGATTTCACTTGCAGATAAGTGTTCAAAGAGTATGGTACATACAGTGTGTAACACTTACTTAAATAAGACAAAGGTTATGGTTTGAGACATTTTATTGTGTAGAAGAGAGAGGAATAGAGCTTGGTTCTCTGGGTTATAATTAAATTGCCTAAATCACGGGACTATCTTTTCTTTTTCTGTAGTGTGATCCCTCCTCTCCACCTACCAGCTTCTGCAACAAACGGTGTAAGCAGTGTCAGTGACAAGTTATGCAGCTTTCTCCTACATTCTTTGCTGTATTTATACAAGAGAGCAGTCAGGATCCTAGTGTGAACAAGAGAAACTTCATGACACCTAAAAAATCAGACACAGGGACAATGCTTTATTAATGCTGTTTGGTGTGAGCAGAGTAGTGTGTAAATAGAGCAGAGGAATGAAGGATTAATGTATTTCTCTAAACAACATATCTGATCGATGTTTGAAGAGTGATGCATAAAAAGTGAGTGGGTAGAGAGTGAGCCAAAGGAATGAAAAACTGTGGAGGAAATGTAGGATGGTGCTGGAAGGTTGTCAAAACCTGAGATTTGCTGTCTGCTGAGAAGTGGGCATGTTGTAACCTGAATAAAACCAGAGTTGGGCTTTGACCTAAATTTCTATGCATGCAAATAAGTTTGGACTCAAAGTTTATGCTGCCCTTGGATAAGGGCTTTGTATAGATACGAGTTTGAATGTGTGGCTTGAAGGTGCATGATTACTAAACTGAGTATGTTGTCTTCCTTCTTTATGTTTCATGGAAGTGGCCTGGGGAGAATGCTTGTTTGTCTGTAATGCATGAAATTTCTGCTTGGCTTACTCTGAATGAGTGTATATGACCTTGATTTTTAGACTGGCCCGCATTTCAAGGCTGCAGTAAGCTTCTGTAGCTTCTTTATTGAAGCTATTTTTTCAATAATAAAGTACTGTGTTTATAAATTTGTGGTAAGGGTGCTTGGTGACCCATAGTATATTTTGAAGCATGTTAGGAGTGTGTTGGACCAAAAAGCTCAGGGAACGTAGGCTGGCAGAGAAAGTCTCAGGGGATGAAACTGCAGAACATAGTACTGCAGTACGTCAAGCTGTTGGATATGTGGCAGCAGCCAGTTTTAAGGTAATCCTTAGTAATAAAATACTAAAATGAATAGTGATTAAATATCTTTCTCCTCTCCTCATGTAAAAGTTTTTGGGTTAAGCTGCATATGGTTTGTTTGTATTTTTCTTTGTTTCTGAAGTTGGAGAACCAGAAAAACAGTTTTTTAACTGAGCTTTTCTGTGTACTTCTACCTGTGTGAAATAACTGTGTAGAGCAGATTTTATTAACCTACTTTAAAATGAGCCTTACAATATGGTAATAGCAATAAGAATACTTAAAACTCCTGAGGAAAGATAAATGGCTCCGTCAGCTGTAGATCCCAGAGAAGTGAGAAAAGCCCACAGATGGTTTGCCTTTTTGGAGTCAGCTGTGTTCAGGCAGTGTAGTGCCACAGTTAGAATGGATCTAGGTATGACTTCTAGTTGCAAATCTAGGTGCTTCTGTAGTAAAGGTACTTAAAAGTTTCAGGTGAATAAGAGTTTCAGATACACTTCTGTGGCATAATGAACACTGATACTGATGAATCACAGAGTTACTGATTAGAAATAATTACTCCCACCTTTTTTCCTGTTTCAGTCTCCTCAAGGGGGAGAAAGACAACCAAAAAAACCAACCTCACTCTCCTCTAGGTGCTGTGAAGCCCTGAACCTTTTAACCTTTTTTTTTTTTTTTCCTCCCCAGAAATACAATTTTTTGAAACAGTTTATCTACATTTTGAAGTATGCCTATATGTCAGCTTCATAAAATTCCTAAGGTGCTTTTAAAATTCCATCATCTTTAAGTCAAGGCCTCTTCTGTGTGATAAAAACCTTTCTTTATCTTCTTCTCTTTTATTTTTTTTTGGTAACAAGAACAGTGTGTATGCAGCAAGGTAGTTTTATTAATTATTCATTGTTATTTTCAGTACAAGAGCTACAGGTTCTTCCAAAATGTGAATAAACAGTGATGTTCATACTGTCTTGCTCCAAGAAATGTTAAAAGTTTAACTAAATTTGAGTGGCAACTTGACAAATGAACAGAAAATAAAGGTTGTTAAGTATAAAGGCACTATTTCTGGCTCAGAAAGTGTCTGAACTGTCAATTTGCTGGAGACTGGAAGAGTGTTTTGGGAAATAATGCTATTTACTTGTCTGTTCTTGCACTGTTCCCCAGATATTCTCTGTTGACTGCTGTAGGAGAAGTATTCTGGCCTAAAGGATCCTTTGTTCTGATCCAGCTGTTCTTTTACTCTTACACATTATACATATATATATATATATATATATATATATATATATATATATAAAACTATTTTCCCTATTCAAACTCACTCTCCTTTTACAATAAACTGTTGTAACTATTTTATGTGAGCTCTGGTTTTGGTAACTGCAGCACATTAGGTTGCTAAATCTAAGGCACTGGAAAGGCCACGGAGCCTCTGCTGTCTTCCATTTGTGACTTCTGTATAGGAGATTGCTTTTCCCCAGATTTAATTTTTTTGAAAGTTTGTGCTTACTGTTACTGTTTGTTACAGTTTGATAAATATTTTGCAGTAACTTACAGCATTTAATTATTTGACAGATTTTTGGACCATTATGATCATGGCTAATCTGTTTTAAAATATCCTGGGGATATATGTCATGATTCTCTAGCATATTACAAGCTCAGTCCTTGGGTACAAGGACAGAAGACTTTTAATTTGTGAAAACAAAGTTGGAATCTTCTCACTCTGTAGGCCAAAGTCTGTGTCAGGACTATGCAATAGATGTACAGAGCTGTTTTATAGAAGTTGACTCTTATCAACAGTGAAACTATTGATACTGGGAAGTGTGTAGCAACTCCTAGTGAATATGTGGATATTAAGCTTTTTAAATCATACACTACTGAAATCTTGCTATTAAGATAGAGGAGTTGGCAGCATGTCCAAAGGAAACCAACTATATGGGTGACTTTTGGTGGTGTTCTTCACATAACTTCCTAGGAAGTCTTTTTTTTCAGGCTGAAGCTTCAACTTGGATAATGTTATTAAATCCTGGTGTACAGTTAACGTGACTGCATTTCTGTTTTCACAGTCTTAAAGCTTCTTT